GCCATGCACATAGGTTGGAGAAGAAAGCAAAAGATCAACGAGTGAACACTGCTTGATTTATCATAAAATTTCTCAGAGCTAAAGTAATAAGGAATGTGTGGAAGATAGTAAAGAGAGTTTGTTTTGATTTCTTGGAAATAAAAGGGCCAAACGAGAGCCTCTCAGGAGATGCAGCTCTGTCGAAAAGGCAGAGCTCGAGATACTCCGTTTTTTTAGATTTTGCCTCACAAGACTCACTTTTCTAGTCTGCTTTTGTGGAATGTTTGATCCGAGAGTACACGAAAGGGCGAGTAGGCCTGGTAACTAGCATATCGATCACCGTGCTAGAATTTTACCTTTCTGAACACCGCGGCCCAGCAAACAATGTTGAGCTTAAAAGACCGCGCGCACACAGGGAACAACCTAAAGTTTGTTAGAGAGAAATGGACAAGAAAACTCGGTTGATATCTCGCAGGGTTCTTTCCGACATTTCCAATCTGTGAGGGACTGATACAAAATTCATCCCGCTTAACGGACCATAAGAACAGTAGAGGTTCAGCATCAAATCCTCTCAAACCAATAGTATAACTGAATCGGAAGTCTTCATTGTGACCACATAAATAGGTTCATAGGGTAAAATTGCCTTTTAACCAACGTCAATCCAACTGTTTACGTTGTAACTTGAACTGTAGCTGTTTTCGGAAAAGGGAAACTTAGTTAGTCTCCGTAAATGTGAACCTTGGTACCCAGCACGCCGACTGTTTGGAGCGATTTTCAATCTAGTTTAAAAAATTAATCTGAGATCTCTCAAGTTTGTGTGACAGCTCACACGGGGCCAAAGTTCCAGCTGTGAGATGACCATCTTGCGAAATAGGAGTCATGGCGAAATTATAAGAGTTTGTATGAGAATATTTACGACCGCTCCTGCGAATAAAAAAATACAGTCGAATTCTCAATAAAATACCTCACCTTACTTCCACAGAACATCGCTTGTTGTCTGGCCACTTACTATGTCGAAAAGAGTCCATTTTAGCGAGATATCCTTTTCTAGGTTTCCAACACCGTTACACCCTTACACCAATTTGCACTTCCTCCTGTTCTTTCATAGGGCGGTGACAAGGGCTTCTTTATCTGGAGATCACTTATTATATTCTCGTGACCGTAGTTTGGAGGCTTGTCCAATACACCCAAACCGCTGCGAATCGTCAAAGGCAGTTGACGAATCGTCAAACCGGAAGTCGATTCGCGGCTTAGAGGTGTTGTGATGTCGGAGTTCTGAGAAACCATCTCTTATGACGTGGAAACGCATACCGGAAGTCAGTTTGCAAGAGAAAAGAATATATTCCGAAAGTGTCTGCGATAGGGGGTTGCAGATGCTGTCGAATCGACACGATTCGACTCCAATCGAACGACTCGTCACAAAAACATGACGACCCGTCATACCGGATGTCGATTTGCAAGACACCGCAAATCGACATCCGGTATGACGGATCGTCATTTGCTGTGACGAGTCGTTCGATTCGAGTCCAACCGTATCGAATCGTCAACATTTGCTACGCTGTATAGTTTGTAATATACTGACGATAGACTTCCGGTAGTTTCACGCTTTAAGAACGTGGAAGGTTCATGTTGTCATGTTCTCGTACCATGCTACTCATTTTCACTCATTGCTCACGTGCACGTGCGCGCCCCTCGACTTCCGGTATGTTAACGCACGATTCGATTTCTGGCATACCATGGTAATTTCAAATATTGCTTACGCCCCTCGCATTCTGGTATATTAACGCACGATTCGACATCCGGTGTGACTATTCATCAACGACCGCGGACGAATCGCAACGGTTTGGGTGTACTGGACATATATGCTCACTTGCGCGCCCCTCGACTTCCGGTATGTCAACGCACGATTCGATATCCGGTGTGACGATTCGTGAACGACCGTAGACGAATCGCAACGGTTTGGGTGAATTGGACATATATGAAACCGTACGATGACGACGTTGTAATTAATAAAATAGACTTTTTAATCAAAGGCAGCAAAATTTCAGTCACCTCTGACCTCTTAAGGAGCAAAGCCAGTAGAGTTACGTAATGTAATGTACAAAAAGGGGAGGGTTTGTGGAGGGTGGGGAAATCTCTTACAAAAAGAGGGGCGCTGAAAGTAAGTCTCTTAATGGAGCGAGTATGATATTATCCTTCCCGAACAGAACCCATGTACTATTCAAGAAACAAGGCATCACATGGCCATGAGTTTGCAGTTCTAGGAAAAAGACATTTTGGCGATATATATAAACAATAAACAAACAATATTACCCATAGTAGACTATGGCTGTATCGTATGGGGGGACTGTGGAAAGAACAACTCACAGCGTTTAGAAAGGTTACAAAATCAGGCCATGCGTACTATCCTCTCTACAAATCGTAATACATGTTCTCAAGAAATGCGTAGTAAGCTTTCCTTATTATCATTGGAGAGTAGACGTAGATTCCGAAGACTTAATCTTGTTTTTAAGATTATACATAATATAAATTGCCCACAGCAAATTAGAGAACTATCTCCTTAAGAGATCAGCCTTTCATACCAGAGACTTTAGAGACTCTACCTTATTGAACATTGTTGCTACAAAGACCAAAATGGGTCAAACGTCATTTAAATGTACTGCTGCTAGGGAGTGGAATCTTTTACCAAAGGACATTCGAGAGATACAGTCTTTATCAAAATTTAAGGCGATAGTTTTTGAATATTTTTTAGAACACGATAAATCTAATCATTTATGTAGTTTAAAATAAGTATTAGCTTTTCTATATATTTTATGTTATTTTATTTCATACTTTAGTTCTTTATAGGGTTTCTCCTTTGATTTTGATTGATACTATTTATCATGCTGATCACTAGTTCATACCAGCCAATCTATTAGATTGCTGATTAGTCTTATCAGTTGAAATAAAGCTTATTACTATTATTATTATTATATCTATCCTCCTTTAAATATTTACAAAGACTTTGCAAGGTATCACTCAAGAGACAAATCTATCTTCACAATCTAAGTCATTGCAGAAAAAGACTGTCTAAACAAAACATTATCCTTTAAGAATCCAACCCACATGTCCCCTCCCATATACCAAGAGGGCACTATAACCAACAAAGCTTCAAAGGCACATGTTGTGAACAAGTCAATTGTGAGGATTCTTTGTTTTCCATCTGGAGGTAGTGCGGTTAAGAAGCTTGGGCACTAGGTTTGTAATCTGGGGGTCCTGGGTTCAAGCCCTTTATCTTCCCACTCACTGGATTTGTTCTCAGTTGTCCCAAGTTCAAATCCTTTACTGCACTCTGTCTCTAGCCAACTGGCCTGACATCTGTCAGTCGGGATTTAAGAAAATTTTATTTAATTGCGTTGTTTGTTCCCAATTTGCTTGTATTGGCCCTGAAAAGCCCCATTAGGGCTAGTCGTCAATTAAGTAAATATACATACATAGATCTGATCGTTATGTTCTTCACTGGTCTTATTATCAAATGAATAAAGGGGGGTAAATTTATTTAGAAGCTGTGGTACTGCATCAGTGGGAGAACAAAAGGGTAATTTAGTATCATAAACTGAGTTGATCACATAAATTGACCACCATAAAGAGTGTAAAAGCTGATGTTTAGAGCATTATCCCTTTTTTCAGAGCGATCAAAGCGTCAGCTTTAAACTCATTACGGTAGCCAATTTAAATTTTCAACTCAGTTTGTAATACTAAACTACCCAGTCTTAGTGTAAGTTTGTTTCAGAATAGTATTTCTTAAGGATCATGAGCCATAACATTATTGGTCTCCTAACCATTCAATTTTTTTGTTTTTATTTATTTACACTCCTTTCTATACATTTCCTTTGCGACTGACAAGGAGAATTAAATTCAAAATCACAGCCTCTTAGCTTGGTGATCTTTTTCTATTTCTCATGATCTTAATTTTTAATTCAGCAATATTACAGTAAGGAGAAATTAAATGCTGGTCACCCTTAAGGGTTAAAGGGTCAAGGGTAACAAGATCTGCTGAGACTAAACACCAAATCACTGCCGAAGAACAAGAATATAGAGGATGCTTGTGTTTGTCAGCTGCTTTCACTATGTTCAGCTTGATCACCATTTGAAAAACTTGTAACCTCTAAAACAGAGAGGAAAGTAAACAAGAATTAGTTCCTTTGATTATAACATTAATAAGGCTGAGAAAAGGCCAATTCCAACCATAATGATAATGTGGTTTTTTTGAACGAGTGTCTTTAAAAAGGGGGTGGGTGGGAGGGGACAGGACAGGGGGGTCAGAGTCTCCTACTTCCTGTACCATGTTCTCCCACCTCACATACTTTTGTACGCCTTTGCCTCCCGACTACCACCCTTGATTGTGTTGCTCCTTCAGGTTAATCAAGAGGATCAGAAACCTGGCTTAAAGCTTCCCGTCCCTTGTTCTCCCACTTCCCACCCTCTCCTGTCCCCGAGCTCCTGCCCCCCTGTCCCCCTCCACTTAAAACCCCAACCAAAGCAATCACAACAGCTACTGAGAACAGAAAAAAGATCTCATAGGGCCAATAAAGAACCCTAAGTCAAATAAATTAAGAAAGAGTGCTTTCTACACATATTTGTGCCGTTACTGTTTTGTCATTAGCATCTGTGACTATTGTAGTGTCAAAATTTTTGCAACAATGAAATAAAACATGATTAAGGTGTGTTTTCTTCCATGTGTGCATGTATAGCATTCTGCATTTCAGATAGTAACCAGTAAAATTTTCAACACAGAAGAGTCAAGCTAATGAGTAAGAATTCTCATGAAGTTCTGGAGATGGGAGCCCCCCTATTTATGAATATTGGAAGTAAGCAATGATTGCCAACAAAAAATTATTCTCCTTCAGGAAAGACTTAACCATATATCTGCTGAAAGAAGCAAAGATATGAAAGGAAATCTCTTCAGCAAAGTCTGTACAGAGGAGAGAGATAAAACCTAACACACCCCAATTTCACAAAAGAGTGCTTGCATTGGAACCTCAACTAGAAAACTCTGCTCGTACCCCTGTTACAAGAGCAGTACCTCTTTCTAAGTCCTTCAATCGCTTAAGCCTGTCTGTCAATAGAGGGTATATGCGAGATTCAATGTCATTCCCTTCCTCTGTAAAACAGTTCTGTCCTTTCCTCCCCATCAGTCTGCGTCGAATACGGTTCAACTCTATCTTCTTAGTGAATACATCTATCCCACCTTGAAGCATTCTGGGCTCACACTTTGCAGCCATAACATCAGCCTGGTAAACTACATCATGATATAGTTTCATGTGCACTTGTTTGTAGCAAAGATAGCTCAAACGACAAAGGACAAGCTTAAAGAGTATATCCAGCACTGTGTGAAGCTGCAACATCCTTGGGCCAATGTAGGCGAGCTTATATGTCAAGTACAACCATGATGGTGCAAGGACGGCATTGATAGCCTTGTAATCCAATCGCTGCGTTTGAGCAACCTCGTGCGCGATGCAAAAAGCTATCATTTCATCACTAGGTAGCAAACATTCTTTGATCTTTATACCCAGTTCAGAATCCCATCTGATGTCCCTTCCTTGAAACGTAATTCCACACGTTTCTATGTCTTTGTAATTCTCAAAAATGTACCATTTTGGCAAGCTTACAACAGCTCCGTTTGGAAAGGAAGTTGAACCCACCGACATCGGATGTACACCCTGATTTATGAACAAGCTTATCTTGTTGGCATTCGTGTAGCCAAGCTTATTCAACACTACATCGAACTGTGTTCTTATTCGCTCAGAGACTTTCAAAAGGCTGCCATCTTCGTCCTTCAGGCCAACGATAGGTTTGCACACTTGATTCGGGAAGGCCTCGGCCGCGTTTTTGTAAATAAAAAGTCCACCGATACCAAATCCTACGGATATGACAATGAATCGGTTCGCAACCTTTCCTACAAGTTCCATAACATGTCCAAAACTCGCCATGCTTGCTAATATTAGTAAAGTAGTTCTACACGTGTTGATAATCCAATATGGCGACTACTCCTCTACACTCACTCCAGTCCATTTCGCGGCGAGAGCTTGTAACTAGGGTGGAGTGGGTAAAAAAATTCTCAGTTCCTAATAGTGGCTAACATCTATTTTTCCTTACAGAATGACCCCTGAATCAAACATTAAGAAAGGTCGGAAGAATAAGGAAAATTATCATGATTACCAGGTAAAGAAGGCCATGATTGTTCAATAGATCCTCTTTGTCAGCAATTCAGGAAATTTAAAGAGAATACCATGGAGAGTTTTCATACTGATGTTAGGGTAAAGAGCTTAATGCAACAAGCTTTTTCCATGAGTTTGCTTTATATTTTTAATGATTTTTACCCAAATTCCACGTCTTTCATTGCTCAAAGACACATAAAGAAAACAGGCTTGTTGTCTGCAGTAAACATTGCTGCACAAAAGACCACCTTTCAGTACTTAATCCTCTCACTCCCAGATAAAATATGTAATTCTCCTTACCATCAATCATACAATTCTTATATTAGTTCAGAGAATTTAATATTGGATCAACTAATTATCCCCAAATTGATTTTTTTCTTTTTTCTCAACACTTGTCTGGTTGATACTGTATTGATACTGTAAGGAGAAACTCTGTCTTGATCACTCATGGGAGTTAAATCCAGTGCAAATGTTTGCATTAAAAATGCTTGTTCCACCACCAAACCACCTCCCCCCCCCCCACCTTATTCAGTGCTAAGCCAAAGCAAACCCCCCTACCCCTGGGACCCATATCTTTTCTTTTCAATTTCCCAACCCCTTCTCCCCTTATTCATAGAATATTGTGATGTTTTCAAGATCAAGAGAGAGACATGTCAACTGCACTGAACAACTTTAGCTTGCAAGGCCCTAAAAACCCTTTCACTCTTTTGAGTGACCGTCCAAGAATTAATTTTTCCTCACAAAATCGATACAATATCAAGCAGACAAGTGATGACAAGAAAGGATAATATCAATAAGGAGGGTGGGGGACTATCACTTGATCTAATATCAAATTCTCAGAGCTAACATCATAAGAATTGTTTGGCAGGCAGTAAGGAGATTTACTGATGAGATCTTGGAAGTGAAAGAGTTAAATGCACACTGTATTTGGTTTTCGAGTTTTGTTTTAATCCAATACTGTGCTTAAAACTCTCAGATCATCACAGGAGATGTAATTTGGGATTTTTCTCTAGTAAAAAGTCAGTACTGCTAGAAGAGTGTGTTAGGTTTATAAAATCAACAGAAGAGGAAAGGGATGAGTGCTTAGAGGCAAAAAAAAAAACTTTTTAAATTTCTGTCATGTGTAGCCCTGATTAACAATACAAATTGACAGAAATTATAAATAATAACTAAAACTTACAATTTAAATGTTAAAAGGGTGATTGAAACCTGATAGCCATTACAATAATATTGACTGTAGAAAATGTATGTGAACCTGTTACTTAACACCCTTAACAACATAAGCGGATCTTGAGAGTGTCTTGATAAGGGCACAACACGTCAGTTAAAATCCATGACATGAACCCTTTTTAAAATTAAATTACAACACTGATAATGACATCTCAAGTAAAGTCAAATGTCTAGCTTGGGTAGGCGACTCTAATCTCAAAGATGACTCCTTACTGAGAAGCCAAAAGTTATTCCTACTCCTCTTTCTCTCAGCTGCCATCACTCTGCTTCCACTTGAACAAGTCACTCAAGCTACACAAATGCAGGCCTATGGGCAGGGACGACAGGTGTATACACATTCCCACACAGGCCACAAAAGTCCATCAACTAAATATTGATGAATCAAAAGAAAGAAAGAAGCATTCAAAGAGGTTTGAGCTTAACACATTACTCAGAGATTAATTTTTGACCTAGAAATTTTCTTTCAAGTAACATCCTTTAAAATGCAGTCTTAGACAACCCAATTTTTCAAAATTTTGCAGGGAGAACCTACCCCCCAACCCTCCAAGAATCTTGTGCATTCTGCAATTGTCAATTCAAGTCTTCAGCCCTCAAATACCTCCCTCCCCCTTCTTAAAAATCTGTCTACAGGCCTGAAATGTCACTTGACAAACACTACTTTGGGGATGACTCTAAAATATTTTTCACTCTATCAAGTCTATCAGTGAAGGGTGGATGCGTTGATATTAAAGAACGTGCTATAAAATTCCCTTCTTCTGTGAAACTTTTCTCTCCTTCCTTTCCAAGCAATGCTCTTTGCATCAAGTTTCGTTTCAATGTCATTGCAAAAAAATCAACGCCACCTCGTGCCATTCGAGGATCACATTTAGCAGATACTTCGTCTGCATCAAATTCTGCGAAGTGGCGCAACTTTTGGTAAATGCGCGTATAAGTAAATAGGCTTACTCCAATGATGCCAAGGTAAAAAAGAGCTTGCAAATCAAATCGATGTTTAAAAATTTTCGACGTCGAATTAGAAATTCTGTACGTAATATACAGCCACGTTGGGGGTGCAAACGTGTGATACAACTTTAAGTGAAAATGTTCCTCCGTATGAGCGAGCTCGTGGCCAATTGTAAACGCTATCATGTCGTCTGTTGGAAGGAATGTTTCAGACACTGCCTTACCAAATTCAGAGTCCCAACCAACTGTTTTTCCGAATTTAAGGCCGGAGTTACGAATATCTTCTTCACTCTGAAACAAATACCACCTTGGTAAACCTATTACAGCTCCAGCGGGAAGTAAAGATGATCCAAGTGAAATACCATGGAAACCTCGATAGATAAACAAGTTAACATTGTTCACATTTTTAACACCATATCTTTCCGCGACCACATCCAGTTGTTCTCGACAACGATCGGGTACTGCGATAAACGCACCTTTTTCATCTTTAACGCCATAGATTTGCTTATAAAGATGCGGAAATAACTCAGCTGAGCCCCTAACAATAATCAGTCCTCCGATTCCCACACCAACAAGAGATCTCAGTATCTTATCCATACTCAACGTGCGAGCCGCCATCTTGAGTTGTCATAATCAGGAGATCTGAAAACTAGTCTAAAAATTCAGCCCCAGGCTCCTAAGCCCGGTCGCAAGCCTCGAATGGCCTCACCCTGTTGAAGTCAACGTCCTTGCTCGCTTCGCAAATTTAGCGGCTCTTTTGAGCATTTGTCACTGATTGAAATGGTAAAAATATATATTTTCGAATAAAAAAAATTTTTCTTAAAGTTTCTACAATGAGCAGATCAAACCTATTTAGATATTTCTGCAAGGAAAAAAATATATTTTTTCAATTAGGTGCCAGAGACGCCACTGTGAAATTATTTGAGATGTTCATCATCTATTGTAGTGTTGCGGTTAGAACTGAAAAAATTATATCTTCGGATCTACTGGGAATAATTCGCTGATTCAAACGATAAAATTATCTCTACGTAAAGAAAAATTTTCCCTTAAATTTTCATGATGCGCCGATCACTTCTTTTGAGACATTTCTGCAAGGTACAGCTTTCTTTTTTCACGCGCCATTCTGAAATGATTGTGAAATGTTTATCGTCTTCTGTAGTACACTGCGAGACAAACAATAACTAGCACCGAAAAACAGTGTGATCACCTGCTAATATTCTGCGTAACATTCGGAGCGGTTCGAAGAAATCGTCACTAGGCGTTGGACGACCGAAGATTTTCCAAAACAAACAAAAGCCAAGAGCGAAGAATATTCAGTAAAACTCGGCCGACTTCGTTGTCAAAGAAGAGGTCGTTCGTATTCTATTATAACACTCACTCACTCAACAGGACAACATTATGGCTTCGCCTCTTTAGGAGGCAGTAACCATAAAAATTAAATTCCCTTGGTTTAGATCTTCTCGTGGGAAAAAAACTGAACATGATTTAACTCGACCGAAAAAAGACATATCGGCCGACGATGAAATTGAAAACCATACTAAAAGGAGCAGAAATGACTCAGAATTCCGAGAAATACCGGAAATGCGTTGTCACTATGATTTTTGTGTCTCAAGGGAAACGCCAGAGTCGATCTTAACAAAGAAAGAGTCTTGCTTTTGGGTAGCCTTTCGGTTAAGACGCATAGTTGAGCCATAAAAGAAATGATGACAGTCTAGTCTTATTCAGAAATTGATCAGTGTTTATTGGTTTATTGATACCTCAGTGAACACTACAAAGGTTTTAGCTTACACTACCCCCGCCAAGTCGTAATGATTCATTCTGAGTAGCCAAAATTCAGCTTTAAATTCAAGATAAAAAAGACTTTGTGATCGATACTATGATACTCATTGCTCCTAAGCAAATTTAAGAGTGTCCTGTTTGTCCTACCTAGTGCTATCCAAGGTCCTTTAACCAGCGATGAACAAGTTTTGTTATTCTTTTAAAAAAGCGATTGCAGTTAGTTCTTAAGTTGCACTACCTTCATCGATATAAAAGTTAGTTATTCAGATTATTGGAGCACTCCTTCCTGTATATCTTGGCGACTGGTAGAGTGAATACTTCCAAATTTGGTTTCTGGTGAGCTTTATGGGCTTTAAAGCATCCAGTCGACTGGTAAAAGCCTCGCACTGTCCATAGAGAAACATCTCGCACTGCTCTGGAGCCCCTATCGGTCCACAAAGCGGGAGAAGACAGCTCAGCATGGGCAGAAAGCAAATCTTGTCGGATGCAGGCATACTTGGAGGTAAATTCAGGGGTCGGCTGAGACCAGTTATTGCATGCCACATCACCTAGGGCTACATAGCCTGGAGGAGCATGCACTCGCCAAAAGGAGCCATCCTGTCGACCCCTAGACCCCTTGCCGGTCCAAATTTCCTCGTAGGAACATGGAGCTTTGATAATGTCGCCAAGATGGTCATACTTGAACAAGGGCTTCACCAGAACCACAGCGTGTAGAGGAAAGGAAGACGTATGCGCTCCAAATGCAACATCCCCGATCATATAAACACCTTGAGGGATGGAATCTATTTGAGCCCTCCACACATTTACGTCTTGGTGCGCTCCTGTTCCCTCGCTCCCATAGATTTTTTCTACTGAAACTGGTGCCACAACTTCAAAAATTTCTTGTTGAGCCATTGTTACGTTTCTTTGTTAACGTTTTATGAGTCAACACGCAACTGCGCTCATAATACTAATTTTAAGTTGTATGCTTGGTTGCCAGGCCTTTAATTTGGAGTGAGGCAGAAGGTGACCCTGATGTACGGTGTACGAGATACAGACCAGTGTCTAATTAGCATTATAATTTACATAATAATTTATTAATTTTTATACCATAAGAGAGACGTTAAGTTTTGAGCTCGGTAAAGAAAAAGAGAAAGATGTTTTTCGCCTTGTCACGAGCGTGGGATAAAGAAAAAGATTCTGAGTCCCCATGAGGAATCATGATGGGGTAGTTACGAAAACGAAGATTCCGAAAACGAAGACCTAAGACCCTCTACGAAAACGAAGACCCATTATGAAAACGAAGACCCATTTCGAAAACGAAGACCCCCCACGAAAACGAAGACCCATCACGAAAACGAAGACACATCAAGAAAACGAAGACCCATCACTAAAACGAAGACACATTACTAAAACAAGTTCGAAAGAGGTTGGTATGACCTTTGAGGACAAAGATTGTGTTTATGAGACACACTACGAATGTCGCGGAATCAAGAGGACTGTATACTTCTTTGTTTCTAAACGCGTTTATTTTCTTCCATCACTCCTGACAATCTGAACATACTAACACTCTAACGATCTAAAACCAATCTCTCCTTACAATTCAGTGCTACTTCGTTTTACAGTTCTAGTTGCGAAATAAAGTAATTTTCCCACAATCACGAGTTCAGTAAATTCCCAATCCCAAAGTACTGTAATATACCCTATTTTAGTTGCAATTTCACAATAACACGTTTCTTTCCCTTATTTAGTTCACTGTACGCATGCAAATCAGTGTTGAACTTTGTTTACAACGTTGTGAAATATCATGTCACGAAATCTTCCTATTCGCGTTACGATCAGTCTAGTATTTCGTTACATTGTGTGACAATTCATAACATTAATCATTAATTATAAAGAAATCGTTCTCGACACTCTCCCCCCCTTGACTCGCCTACGAGTCAAGCATATTGTTGTTTTCTAGCAGCTCTGCTTGGGTTGCGTCTAAGAGGTGTATTCCTTTCACGTTGAACCCTCTGCTCAATTTGGTCATTCCCTTGAGTGACACTTTTTATTTCGATGGGGTACAATTTTTGAACCGGTCTAGAAATGCGCACAGGTTTACCCTTGGCAATGACTCTTACGTTCGCTCCCCTTACAACATTGTCTTTTCCTCTAATAAGACTCTCTACTACTACCATTTTCCACTCTCCTCTCTTTTTGTTCTCCTCATAAACTGTCACTACATCACCTGTCTGAACTTCTCTGACTACACGTCCTGCCTTTGCTCTGTGAAACTCACGTAAATTGACTAAATACTCGTTTCTCCATCTCTTCCAAAAATGTGCTAACTTCACCGTCAAATAACGAAACCTTTCTGAACAACTACTCTCGTTTTCTTCTGGTTGTTCAGCTATCTCATCTGGCATAGACTGGATTCTTCTACCAAAGATTAAGTGTGAAGGTGTTAGAACTTCATGCTCTACCTCGTTATAATCGTACGTAAGTGGACGGGAATTTAGAGTTCCCTCCACCTCTACTAACACGGTTAGCAACTCGTCAAACGTTAGTCTTGCGTTACCCAACACCTTTCTAAGGCACGCTTTCACGCTCCCAACCATTCTCTCGAAAAACCCTCCCCACCAGGGTGCTCTCTCTAAGTTAAATCGCCACTCGATTTTCTTTCTGTCTAGTTCGCTCGCTACCTCTGGATGATTAAACAAATCATTGAGCGCTTTTTCGGTCGCCTGAAAAGTTTTCGCGTTGTCGGATACAATCAAGGTCGGCGTTCCACGTCGTGCTGCAAATCTTCTTAGCGCTCGCCTGAATGCCTCGGCTGACAAATCTTCGACTAATTCTAAATGAATTGCTCTGGTTACGCAGCATGAAAACAAAGCAATGTAAACTTTTCGCACGCCCCCTGTTGCTGCCTTAACATACAAAGGTCCCGCAAAATCTACGCCTACTTTCGAAAACGCTGGCACTTGTTTCACTCTGAATTCTGGTAGTGCTGCAGTCTGGGGTGCGCTAAATGCCCTTCCTTCTTGTTTCTTGCAGGTCACGCATTTGCTCAACACTTTTTTCACACATTGTCTACCCTTCGGAACCCAATACCTAGAGCGCATGTCTGCAAGCGTAGCTCTCACACCACTGTGCAAGACCCTTTCGTGACAGTCCCGTATCACCAATGTCGTGTAAGCGTGGTCTCTTGGGAGAATAATTGGTCTGCGCGCGTCGACTTCTAAATCGGAATTAACCAATCTTCCAACACATCTAAGAATTCTATCGTTTTCTACTAACCCTAACTCACTCACCAGATGCTGAAAGTTTCCTTGTCTTCTCAAATCTGCTTGCGCCGCTTTCAACCATTCGCCTTCGGCCTGAACCAATTCTTCTCTTTTCAGTCTTCCCTTTCTTTTGACTGTCTGGTCTTGATCTGGACGTGCATTGTTGATGAAACGCAACACCCATGCGGTCACTCTGAGCAGTTTCCCTAACGATCCATGACGATTGATGTCTACAAGGTTCGCAACTGTAGGCGGTCTCTGAACTTGCACAACCATAACATTGGTCGTCTTTTTCAATTCTTCTTCGCTTTCGGGAGTGCGGATGTCTTCTACAGTTGCTGGCCACTTCTCTTCTCCCTGTGTTAACCACTGCGGTCCACACCACCACAGTTTGTCGTCTCTGAGTTTTGATCCAAGGGCTCCGCGCGAACCGATATCCGCTGGGTTTTCTTCGCCAGGACAATGTCCCCAGTGCTCTTTGTTCGTCAACTTCAAGATTTCGTTCACTCTATGTCTGACAAACTGCTTCCACTCCCCCCTGTTTTGGATCCAACAAAGCGCTGTGCTGCTATCCAACCAGTATCTGACACGATTAACCTTGAGCTGAGATTCTAGGGCCAGCTTTACTGTGTCCATAAGTTGTGCCAAAATCCTTGCCGACATGAGCTCTAGGAGGGGATTTCGAAGTTAAGAGTTTCGCAGAAGTTCCTTCATTTGTTTTGTAGACGAGATAAACTACAGCGCAATAAGCCTTACTGCTCGCGTCTCCAAACCCGTGCAGCTCACACTCGAGAACCTCTTGTTTTGGCCTTTCATAGATGCATCTACTAATCGAAATTCCCTCAATTTTGGACAGGTCCGCAATCCACTCATGAAAATTTCTACTTGAATTTCCCTCAAGCTCCTCGTCCCAGCCCCGGTTCTCACAACAAAGATTTTGGAAAAGAATTTTCATACAAACAATCATGAGGCTAATAATTCCTAAGGGGTCGAATAACCCAGCCAGCAAACTCAGTAAATTGCGCTTAGTCAAGTTCATTTCTCGCGCCCTGTCAACAAGCTTCTTGAAACTAAACTCGATACAATCCTTTTCGCAATCCCACGAAAGCCCTAAGACCTTTTGACATCTCTTACTTACTTCGGCTCCCGTGCCAAGCGTGACCTTGGCGAACGTCTCCTCTTCTTCATTTCGCGCACTAGTTGCGTTACTCTCGTTCCGTTCGATGCGATCTCTCAACGCCTTGTCATTGGTCATCCACTTCCGCAGTCTAAAGCCTCCAGCTGCCATTCGCTGTTTTGACGTCTCGTACAAATGGAACGCGGCGCTCGAGTTCTTCTCGCCCGTCACCAGGTCGTCCACATAAAACCCTTCGAGCATCTTCCTTGCGAATTCGGGGTCTTCATCAGTGTACTTCGAGATATGGTATCTCAGCGTGGCGTTCAACAAAAATGGCGAGGCGTTCAATCCGAAAACTACGCGGCAAAAGCGATAAACTACAATCTAAGATCCTTACGGAAATCTTGAATTCTGAATTTGGTACGTCTGTAATTTATTACGGAATATTTCAACAGTAGAGCCCCATGGAGCCTTCATGGAGCCTTGGACTACTTTAAAGCTAAAACGAGATTTAATAGAAGAGACACGACATGCATATGGAAGATACGTTGCGTGACGCTTTAAGCACTAGAATTAAAGATAACATTACATAAGATTACTGTCAAGGAGAATATATTTGGAATTCATATATTCCATCAACTGAAATAGGATAACTGTATTGGTTTGATTTTAATTGCGTTTTCCTTAGCTCTTTTATTAACGTAAAGCAAATATATTAAGCGAATCAAAGAATGCGATGACATTTTTACCAGCAGCAAAACACACAGGACAAAGCTTGTATAATAGGCTTTGTATTTATTGTTTCCGGAAACTCATTTGAGTGACATTTCATGATGATCCTGTTGATAATGAAGTAGCTATGAGAAGCTTTGAAGTGCCGTCTTCAAATTTACAGTGCACGCGATTTTATCCACGTGGCGTGCGTGGCCCAAACAGTTGCCCAAAAGCTTCCCGTTTTTGTGGGAAGGTAGCCCACTGATGGATCAATTTGCAAGTAATGTGTCTTCATTTTCATTATGGGTCTTCGTTTTCGTAGGGGGGTCTTTCGTTTTCGTAACTACCAGCAAGATGGATAATTTGTAATTGTAAACATGAATAATCTGAATGACACGTATTTTTTCGCAGTTTCTAAGCAAAGTTCGACGTTTCTAAGGCCGAGATTTATACAAATTATTGTTCTCGAATTTACCCACTTTGAGTTAGTTTACATTCCTACTTTTTTTATGCTTTGCACGGCGGCGTAATGAAGTCGTCCGTAGACTTGGCCAAGCTGGTTGTAGTTATTCTTAGTTGTGCTCTTGATGGAGTCAGTGCTGGTGAAAACCGAGGGAAATGTGTGAAGAAAGGAAGAACCAGAGCCACACAAAGTATTTATGACGATAGCAGGTCTTTGTTTACAGCGAACGGTAGATTTGCAGCAAGGGACCCACTTTTGGGTCAGAAGTGATTTATCCAAAGGGACAGGTTTATGTAATTGTAAGTAGTGTAAGTACCTACAATACTTACACCAATTACATTTACAAGAAAACAAT